CAAACTATTCTATGATTCTATGAAATTTTAATTCTTAGGTAAAGGCTATAAGCTAGACATGAATTTTAAACAAACAGCAGTTCCACCCTGATCTGGGGGCCCTTTACTGTCATTCATAGAGCAGAAACCTGATGTCAGCAGCAGTATGCATAATGGCAATATTCATTTCCTCACATGGATATTACATGTTAGATTGTTTTGTGCTTCTTTTGACAGTTATCTTGCCTCTATTCAGAGTTACAGCATCCAAGCTCTTATGGCATGTGATAGTAACAGAACTGAGGGAAAATAAGATTCTCTAAGATGAAACAAAAATCTTTTCGGTTTTGCAGGAGATCCAGCTGTGGGGAAGAGTGCTTTAGCCCAGATATTTCGCAATGATGGGGCTCATTTTCAGAAGAACTACACACTGGTAAGCATACAAAGGTTCAAACTGCTATCCAACGTTTTTCTAAGTTGCATGAGAAAACTAAGAAGGTCTAGAACAAAATAAATAACATGATTTTAAGTTGAGGCATTCAAGGTGGAGTCTTACAGGGTTTTCTTTCTCTTACACCCTAGATTCTGAAGAGAAACCATTTAATATTCTGTAAGTCTTCATTATGTGGGTGCTGGTTTTGAAACCTAATGCAGAGTAATTTAGTTAATTTTCTAATTTTCCTGCTAAACCAATGTTTTCACAAGCGTTTGTGGTGTTAGAGAACTTCCCCCTTTAGGGAGTGCTCTATGAAAAAGCATTGCTGAAGGAGAAGGCTTTTAATTCTAACTATTAAATGTGCGTGTGGACAGTGCGCTTATCACTATGCAAACATGAAGATGTGCTGCATAGCCCCAAGATAATTATAATCTACAGAAACTGTTCCCAGATGAAGAGGATACAGTTTGCAGTCTTTCAGTGTGAGAATCAATGGTGATGACTAATCAGAAGCAGGATAAAAATAAAAGTAAATATAAGTAAAGTAAAAAAAGGAAAATATGAGTGTGGAGAAAAAAACCCTAAAATATGTTTATTCATTGAAATAAAGATGGAAACCAGAAGTTAAGGATAGAAATAGAACAAACAAACAAGCTACAAAGCAGAATGAGATAAAAGGTGGAAGAGGCACAAATAACCTCAGTCCCATATGTTAGCTGATCACATGGTTAGTGCAAAACGTTCTAAGGCATGCTTTAGAGCAGCAACGTGATAGTGAACGTAGCCCTGCAGATTTCAGCTAATACCCTTAGTTGTATACAAGCAAATCTCTGGATGTTGGTTCTTCTCTGTCTTTTCCCCCCGTCAGAGCAAATCTGTGTGGCTTTGACATGTAGGTGGGTGTATGTTACCAGAGCTATGAGGAGTTCTCAGCAGTCTATGTTTGATGGGATTGTAATGATTCACAAGAATTGCCTCAATCCAATGCGTAGTTGGTATGCAGTCGGACAGGCTCTTAAAAACTCTTCTGATCCTTGTTTTCCTGATTCTTCTTGACAGACAACAGGCATAGAACTGTTGGTGAAGGCTGTGTCAGTTCCAGAGACAAGTGATAGTGTGGTGAGTTTTTCTGTGACATAAATTGGGTCAGAAAGAGACATCCAGAGCTCAAACCTCACTTCAGTCTCATTCTGGTGGAAGATGGCTCTGCATGTTCATAAAGCCATAAAGTTGCGTTAAAGAAATGAGGCTGATCATGTACAATTGCTGATACTCCGGGGTTAGTTTAATCTTAAAAAATGTAAGTTTTACATACTTGTATCCAACATGACTTCTTAAACCAAAGCTGTTGCCAGCTTTGTTAGGATTCTGTTCTGTCCTTTAGGGCACTCAGGTTTAGTTCATGTTTCTTAGAACTACAGGAGCTGGAACTTACCTGTTATTTCTTCTTAATGCCCTATACTCTCACGAATGGAATGTGAACCACATGTATAATTCTGTATAATAGTGCAGGTTACTGTCCCACTCCACATATTCTGTTTCCAGTAGGGATGGAAACCTGACTTTGGGCCTTGGAGGTAACCCTTCTATTAGGGTTATACATGTAAAATAGCTATTTCTTTTCTCATACTGCCTGAACTGGAGTATTCTCAGTACAGGGAACTTGTCCATTAGGGACATGACACTGCTGTACTGAACAAAATGCAGCAGTTACAAGTTCCAGTATTTACTTTCAAAACCTTTCCGTACACTGCATTTTTCCTGGCAAGAGCCTTCTTTCTGCTTCCGCTTTCAGGAATTCTTCATTTTTGACTCTGCAGGAAAAGATCTATTTTCTGAAATGCTGGAGAAACTGGTAAGTCTTATGTAACAGCCCTCTTCTTCCAAAGAAGTGCTTTTGCTTTGAAGATCTGAACTCTCCAGTCTGGCAGATGTAGCAAACTTTGTCTTTAGTGTAAATGGGAGCAATTACCTTGGATGCCAATGCATCCTGTTCTACCTCCTTAAAACTTGTAAAAGTACTAGAAGAAATGCCTTCCAGAGGAAGGAAGGCAGGTAGTAATTCAGTTTTCTTACAAAAAAAATAGGGAAGTTTAACTAAGAATCGCTGTGTGCTGTTGGTTAAAGTTATTTTTATTTCTTAGAAAAGCATCTATTTTGCTGCTACTCCAACAGTGGGATTTTTTTGTGTTACAGTGATGTGTTTGATCCAACAGGACTCATTCTTGTCCTTGAGCATAATACTGCTCTTGATTTTTTCCTTCATGCATTTGTGTCTTTACCTGTACAGTTCTCCATTGTGTTATCTCATTTTGAGACATAGGATCAATTAATTGATGTGAGGTTTCATAAGATGGCTAAATCAACCTAATGGTTCATTGCTCTACAAGAGGCAATTCCACTTTTGCCCTTGCACTAGTTTGGTTTGCAAGAGACCCCTCTAGAAGGTGGCTCAGCTTCTCAAACTGGAAGAAAACCTTTCTACTTTTTTCTCTAGGATTAATTTTGCGCTGATTCAGCATGAAGAATCAGCTTCCCCAGGGATCAGATGAGTGTCAGAGCTGATACAAGTAAAGGAGCAGGACCATGCAGACAGGAATGGGGAAAGAGAGCAAGACTACCTCTTCCAGTGCCAGCTATCCATTTAGTCAGCTCAACTGAAATGTGAAACCTCAGCCAGGGCATAGGATTCCTGTATGTTAGGCTTTTTATTTTTGCCTTAGCATCTGTGTTTACAGACTGGCTGTTGACCACAACAGTTTCATTAGAGCTGACAATGTTCCTTTCTTGCTGTGCAGTGGGAGCAACCCAACGTCCTGTGCCTTGTGTATGATGTCACTAATGAGCAATCTTTCAACAACTGTGCCAAATGGTTGGAGAAGCTGAGGGCTCAAGCAGTTGGAGTGCACATCCCAGGTAAGAAATGGGTGAGATTCTTGTTATCTGCTCCCCTCTTCTATGACAAGCAGTTCTTCCCCTTGAGATGTGGCATAGAGCATTTATTTTAAGCCAGGGGCAGGCATGGCTTCCTCCAACTCATTTGCTTTTATCACAAAGCAGATAAGGCATAAATATGTTTCCTTTGTGGAACCTTTTCTAGGTAGTTGTAGACTGTTCTCCATGCCTCCAACTTTTTCAGCTACTTCTAAAAATGTTCCAGCATTTATTGCTAACAAGTCAGCACTTCTGGGTGGTTGTTCTTCCTTTGTTTCACATTTTTTTTTGTAGGTGTCTTAGTGGGGAATAAAACAGACCTGGCTGGTCGTCGAGTTGTGGAGCAGAAACAAGCACAGGAGTGGGCTGAGAAACATGGCCTGGAATACTGTGAGATGTCAGTGGTGAGTATCTGCTCCTTTCACCATCTGTGGAAGTGGGTGTTTGTAAAGTTATCTCCTCTTTCAGATAAAGAAAGATAATTGGGGGCTCTCTTCCACTTGTTTGTCATCTAACTCAGTTTTAATCTGTCTTTTGTGAAGCAGTTAGAGCAGAAATAGTCAAATGCTTATTCAATCTGTCATTCACAACTTTCTTATTTCTTTACAGAAGGAGATGAAAAATTTTGAGGCCCCTTTCCACATCCTGGCAAAGTCATTCCACCAACTGTACAAAGAGAAAGTGGAAACTTTTCACTCACTAGCTTGAGGGCTGTGTCTGGGATGACTTATTTGTCCTCTAAGCTTCTTCTAGTGCCCAGAATCAGAGAGAAGAAATGGATGGAATACAGAGAGAAGAAAAAAGATGAGCTATTTGCTTCTTCATGGTCATCTTCTGGTAACTCAAAATAAACTAGAAATAAGCAAGTGGAAAGACACTCTTCTGAAGTTGCTACCTCAGCATTAATTTCATGTCCTCTAACTTGGTTCTTTGCTCACTGAAAGTCTGCTAAATTGGAGGAGGCGGGGAGTAAAAGGGGACGGCAGAATGGAAATTGCCAGCTCTTTGCTTTGATATTGTCTTGTCTCTTGTCTGAACAGACTTCCTGCTGCTACAAGCAAGGATTTAGAGGTTTGGAGAAGGCGAGAGGAAGCTGACAGGATGTTTTTCAATTTAAGCAACCCAGTCTTGATACGTACGTTGCAGGGGCAGGACTGATTTGGCCCTGCTACTTGAAAAGCATTTTCAGTAGGAGGCCTATGCCCTAAAATCAACACATGGAGACTGAGATGTGTGGGAACCAAGCTGGATTTAGGTGTGTTTCTAGGAGTGCCCAGAGTTTGAGGCCTGTTTTAACAGTGTTGCCCTTATCAGTTGTAGGACTGATATGCTGATGACTAATATGTGTTTCTGACTTCTAGAATCTGGTTCTTTTCTTCAACGTGGCTCACTTTGCCTAGTAGGAACTGTCTTGCATCTGTACCGCTGTCAGTTGGTAACGCAGTGCCCTCTGCTGGTCCCAGGTTACAAGATTTCTCTTGAAGCGAGCGGGACTTCTACAGGCACATCCAAATTGGCTGATCTGCAAAATGGGGTCAGATAGCAAGAATACCTCTTTTATTCTAGGGACAAGACCAAAATTTTAAACAAATTATCTTTCCTTTTTCATGCATTTGTCATCTTACATGTTTTTGTGTCATTTTTCTTTTTGTCAGCTGAACTTGGCATTACCATGTTCTCATTAGGTTCAGTTCTCAATCCCTTACTAGAATCAGAGTCCTCTTTGTTGTCAAACTTTCCCTGCTTGAATTTCGGATTAAAGACCACGATTCTGATGTTGCTAGTAGAAACAGGACTCAGGAAATGAAAGACAACCTGGCTAAGTTACTCTGTCTTAGCCATGTCTGGCTGGAAGTTTCGTATCAGAAAGGGTAAAAGCCTAGAGAGAACTGCTCTTTTGTGTGGAGTACTGATGTTGCATGTGTGACAGTCTATTTGCTAATGCAGTATGTGAAAGCATCCATGGTAAGGTACTGCCTTGTGACTGATCCTAACACCGAGGAGTTCAAAACTGTAACCTTTCTCTTCTCCCATATTATGTTAGCCTCAGCAAGAGAAGCTGAATTTTGTAGAAAGTAAGCACTGAGTGATTTTTCAGGCAGGCTTTTCAGGAATCTGTGTTTTAAGACTTTTATATGTGCATTTTATAACCATTTTTATGCCCAATGCTAGGAAAAGTACATTGGATTGAACATAAGAAATATGGCTGCAGATGTTGTAGCTGAGTTTATGAAGCATTTCAAGAATCTGGAAAAGCAGCTGGGCTCATTTCACTGGCAACAGTGTGTTGATGCTGGGAATTAGCTAGGGAGCGTGAATACCAGCTAAAGAGGTTAAGTAGGAGCTCAGCCCACAAGAAAAGAAAATGAATAGGTTCTTTTGCTAGAAGCCACCTCAAAAAATGACAGAACCAGCTGGGAAGGCTCTTGCTTCCTCCAAAGAAGGAAGGACTCCTCCATGGGTTTAGGGTAACTAGAAGACTCACTCTTTTTTGAATTGGATTAGCATACAGGCATTTTTATTTTACATGGGTTGTCTTGTTAATTCTGGGGGGGTGTCTGTTGATTTACATGGGCTGAGTAGAGTCTTGCCTGCAGGTGCTAGTACCTCTGGCTGTTAAGAATAAAAGATATTTTGGATGCTGTGCTGATCTAGTTAAAGAACCAAACAAGGTCTGTTTTGATTTGGTAGCTCATTTCCCCCTGGTTCTGTTGATGACGTGATTACAACACAAGACAGATATTTTTTCATATTGAAAATAGCATGCCAGGTGTGTATACCACCTGTGACATGGTGTATAGGGGGAATGAACGCCTTGGGAATGGGTGATAAAGTGAATCCTATGCAATCTTTAACCAGGGAGTTCAATCTCTCTGCACCAGAAGGACCTCCCATAACTTCAAATAAACAATCTAAATGCACCAGTAAGATGAAGATTGGTGAACGCTGTTTTATTAAATGAATGCAAAAGCTGGAGGATCTCATTAAGGGAATGCTTGCAGTGGTGATTTGTGATTTATAGGGAAGCTGCTTTTGAGAGGTTAGTGAAGAAAAATATATCCCATGCAGGGAAAGATATATTGCCTGAGAGAGGAAATGTGTGATCTAATTAGCTAGCAGTAGGGATTCACCCACTGCCCCTTTCCCTCTTTCCACAGGCCATGACTAGAATTAGAAAAGAGGTTGTGTCTAAAGCATGTTGCCCAACTTGCTTTTTACAGGACTATTTCAAGCACTAATGTAGACACAATTTAATGTCCTTCAAAGTGGTATGTTTGACAATAACCATCTCAGTCCTTCCGAATGCATTTTAAAAGCATAATATGTTGTCCTTCCTGGCCAATGTGCTATATAATACCAGCACGATGCAGGTGATGCTTGTTGCTATTTTCCTAGCCTATTTGTGACCTTGGTTGTAGAGGCTAGTAGTGAAGAGTAGGTAGAGAACATGAGAGCCAGATACAGGAAGGCTGTGGAAAATAGTTTTGTGTCTGTGTGAAGGAGTTTAGAGTAGTGAGTAGGTGAGCTGGACAAGCAGGATGAGTAAGAGTCTGAAGCCATTATTAAGTTTCTCTTACTGTGTTCAGTAACTGTTGTGGTCACATCTGTAGGATGAGGATGCATGTTTGCTGCTTATAGGCTTAGCATCACTCTGAATTACAGACACCGTGGAGAGCAGTGGGAGGAGGGCAGAAAGCCTGTCTGCTGACCAGGAATCTTGTTGTCTTCTTACAGCTCCCCTACTTTGTCCAACTGTGCACTGCTGCAGGTGCTCAGCATGGATGTTTACAACCCAGAAGAGACCCAGTTCAACCAGAACTGAAATTTGAAAAGGAGGAGGAGAAAACAAACAGGCCTTTAGCCATTTTTAAGAGATACATAGTCCTCTTTTTCCTGTTTGCTTGTTTGATTAGACAAAAAACATTCTTTCCTCCGAGTCCCTCCTTTCCTTTGGTCCTCGTGGTTCTGCTGCACAGAATCACTGTTACACTTGTGCCCTGCTTTACTTAGCTTGATACATCACCAGCTGATTTTTTTTATCCTTCTAATTTCTGCATTATCTATTCCCAAGGCTGCAAGACATTTCTTCTTAGAGCGATTAATAGACGAAAGAAAACAAAAGTGGAATTTTTAGTCAAATTGTCTTGGAAGAAAGAACCTTAAGAAGCTGACTGACATTCTGAAATTTTACTGGAAATTTGTTTGTGTAAAGTTGTCATATTAAAGACGCTTTAACAGTTTTGTTTTGTCTTGCCAGACATATTCTACTGTGGAGTGAAATGCAGGATGTAAAATTCCAGAAAGATCAGGTTTTATTGTGGGAGTTAATAGGAGTTTCAAAGCTGTTCATACTGTGATAAGATCTGTTCAGTCTTAACAATGGAGTGGTCATTGCTGTTCGTAATAAAGCATTAAATATACTGAAATGGGGCTGTCAGAACAGTTTCTTCTAGAGATTTGTTCATTTTAGAGACTTAAAACTTAAGGAAGGACATCTTTCAGAAAACTGATCTGATAAATGACACTGTTTGGACCAGGGTTATTTCTGATACAACTTCGGTGACTTAAAGGGCTGGATTTAGCCTTTTATGCCAATTGACTCCCTTGGGTAAGCTTCATTTCTTTACCCGCTATACATCTTGGACCAATCTGACCTGATAGCAAAAGACACATGATGTTGTTGAAAATGAAATACTGCCTTGGGGCAGAAGGATAAACTGTGTGGCCTCCTGAGGTCCTCTCAGCAATACTTTCTATAATTCTATTAGATTAAGTGGGGAAAGAAGTCGCGTGGAAAGCACAAAACAGGCTAAGTCATAAACTAGCAATTAAACTGGGATCTGGGCTGGGCTACAGCAGAAAACGTACAATCTATCCCAATTAAGAGCTGTATCTCAGGAGAAACCAGGAGCCTGACGCAGGTGCTGACAGCAGGGAAAACTGCATTTCTGGTCTGTAGGCAGCAACTGCTTTCTACTGGTGCTTACACAGATCCATGGAAGGTCCATACCCCACTCAAGACTGTGCTCTGCTTTTAATAATGATTGTATCTGTGATGTTCAGGTGGCAACTGCTTGCAGTTGTTGTCTCATCTGCCTGTATAAAGCCAGCAGTGTGAGGGCAGATTATCTGCTAGTAGCAGAAGACATTCCTATTCTTGACACCATCCATGATGGGACCGCTCTCTCCCCATGCATTCTCAGTCCTTCTTTTCCTACCTCATGTCTACTTCTTGATGGAGAATATCCACCTCTGCTTGTTCTTAGCACGTAACTTTTCCATCTTGCAGATGGTACTCCATGGAAGCTGGGGCTAAGGGACTTCTAGGACCTTCTGCAGCAGAGGTGGAGTCTTAGTAGGAGCTCTTCAAGGGCCATGCTGGCTCCTGCAGTGTCTCTCTTAGCCTAAGGGCACATCATCTCCCAGCTTCTTGCATCCTATTTCCTCCTCCTGCTGTCATCTTGCCTTGAGAACAATGACTTCTGTGCCAGTTGCCCTTGGCTCTGTTGACCCGGAACAACAATGCTTGGGGGAGGGAGAAAGAAGAGACCTACTCAATCTCTAGTCTTTTCAGGGCTCTTTAGGTGTTGTGACTCCCTGTTGAAGTTACTTGAGAGGTGGGGATGTTGCTCAGTTTAGAGTGTAATTTCGTGGCAGGAGACCCCCAGCTGAGTCCTGGCAGCCTCATTTTGGCTCTTCAGAGCTTGCCGCAGTGTAACTTTCACAGACACTGGCTGTTCTCGTTCTGACTTGGAGCTTCATTTTGTTTTTTTTTTTACTCCTTGGGGGTCTTTCTCTCATTCTTCTGTCACAGCTTCACATATTTCCTCCCCTAGAGCTGTTTGTCAAGAAAAGCCTGGAA